TTTTTTTTTAGAGATTTTTTTGCTATAGGGCATGTGAGCTAGCTGGAAAGAGAGAAAGCAAGAAGTCGCCCCCTGCGGGGAAGGCCACACCGCAATCCCTTCATCTCTATTCTCTTGGGATCTTGGGCACGCCTGCACACGTGCCTGGTGTGAGCTTTAGTCGACAGGTCCGGGACTCAAACCATGGTTGATTACGCGGGAGTCTAGTGATGTAGCCATTACGCCATCTGCTGGTCCCCTGTGTCAGGATTTTGCTCCCACGTTTTTTTCCCCTAATAATGCTATGCTCCTACTCAAAAGCCTCCCATGGCTCCCCATTGTCTATAGAGTCAAATTCAAACTTGACAGCTTACCCTAAATGAAGCGGTGAGAGAAGTGTTCCTGAGCAAAGCATTGGCATCCTAGAACATTCTAGGATACACTGTCGCTGTTGAGTGGTTTTCCTAATTGTAACTATGTTGTGGAGGAGATGTTGTGATGGTCCACCTTTGATGGGGTACCAAACACCGCAGGATGGAAATAGCCATGGCCTCCATCAGCATGTAAGAAGAGAAGGCGTTTTTCTTATTTTGAAGGGACTATTCTGTTATTTCTAAGCCCACCTGCATGACTTATGCCGTATTTTGAACTAGTGGAATTGAACCTGATGGCCAGGGGTGGATTACTGGATCTTGTGTCTTCGTTACTTTGCTTGTCCCTGGGCCTGGAGGGCGCAGGTTCCTGGGGTTCTGCACACACACCCATCCACACTCATGTCCTCGTCCTTCCTCTCCACTATAGAGTTTTATGGGCGAGGAGCCCCCTACAATGCCTTGACCGGGAAGGACTCCACCAGAGGGGTGGCCAAGATGTCCCTGGATCCTGCAGACCTCACCCATGACACTGTGAGCCAGATTATGAGTCAAAATACCCCACCTCCTTGGCCATGGTTTTTCTTTATTTTTAATACCCCTGGACAATTGCAAAGCTTTCTGACTAGCCTGTTTACCCTGCAGTCCTCTTAGTGTGGGGGCCAGCCATTTTCTGGAAACAATTTCTCTTACTGTGCACTCCTACTCAGAAACCTTCCATGGCTCCCTATTGCCTACACAGCCAAGTCCAAACTCTTGTGACACAACTCAGTAATCTTCACAGCTTGGCCCCAACCTCCTTGGCAGCCTGAATCCTGTTATGGTCTGTACCCACCTCACCCCTACTGCCGGCCACTATAGGTTTGCAGTTAGTCTCTGCAAGTAGTCCCACACTCCAGGCCACCCTTGGCAGCTTAGTGGGTGAACTGGATTGGGGAGCAAAGTCTCCCTCTATACTCATATTTGCACATAGGAGAAAACAGTTTTTATTTATTTACTTATTTATTTTAAAGAGGAGTTCATATCTTCCTCTTCTTCTTTTTGAAAAAGAATTATTTAATTTTATTTATTCATTCATTTATTTTAATTTGACCAGAGAGAGACAGAGAGAGAGAGAGGGAAGGTGAGAAAGCAAGCTACGAGGTCCAGGACTCGAACTGTGGTCGGCCATGTGGGAGTGTCCAGTGCCTTAACCACCACGCCACCTGCTGGTCCCCACAGAAAATAGTATTTAAACAAGCCACACAAAGCATCAGTGTCCAAGTAATCCCAGCGGCAAGACTGGCATCCACCCAGCTGTGCATAACCTCCAGCTGGGATTGAGATACGTAGATAGGAGTCGAACTCTTAAACCACAGTGTTACAGAAACAAGCAATGAAGACAGGGGCAGCGTACTCCTGTTTGTAGTGGGAGACGTACAGAGGGCGGTTGGGTCACTCAGGAAGGAGGAGGTGGACGCAGACTGTGCAGAGCATGCCCACCCCACCCCAGGATGGCTGTCCTCTGGACCTGTGTCCGTCACCAGTCAGATGGCACCGAATGATGGCGCCACTGCTCCCCACCCCCATCCCCGCCCTCACATTTACAGGAGGTCTCTTTAAAGGTCCATTGCCCATATTTGGTTTGTTGAGATAGCTTTTCTCTCGCACTAGGGGTCTGGGGAGGGGAGGCATGGGTGGAGAAAGGCCAGGGCCAAATACAACTCACTCATCCTCATCCCCTGTGTTTCTTGGACTTTCCTCCCTAAGACGGGCCTCACGGCCAATGAGCTGCAGTCTCTGGATGATGTCTTCACTAAAGTGTACAAAGCCAAATATCCCATCGTTGGCTACACGGCCCGGAGAATTCTCAACGAGGACGGCAGCCCCAACCTGGACTTCAAGCCTGAAGACCAGCCCCATTTTGACATCAAGGATGAGTTTTGATGTTCCACCGGCAGGAGCAGGTCCTTGGGGGTGTGAGGCAGGGAGACATGCAGGCGCTAAAAGCCCTGCAAACAGTCTGTCCAGGGCCTCTGAGCCACCGGCTCTGAATAAAACTGACGTCTAACCCAGAAGAGTGAATGTTCGTCATTGCCTTTGGCAATGGTGTTCTCCCCTTGGTATTCTGTCCCACCTGGGACTCCCTGCCACACTCCAGCCAGGTGGCACAGGCAGCCACAGGGGAGGCCTCCTCCAGGCCGGTGTTGGCTGTCTGGGCAGCAGGATTAAGAGTGACCTTCAGTCCATCTGTCTATGTTTTTGTACTTGTCAAGTTGTCTACAATGACCATGTTTATAATAAGAACAAATAAACTTCCTACTTTTACGAAAGGAGAGTTCTCCTACACATGCCAGCCCTTGGGCCTCGTCAGTGGCATCACAAGTGGACCCTGCTACCCTTTCACATCCTGCTTTCTGTCTCTCCTGCCTGGGAGGGGGCGGGCAGAGGGGCAGCCAGGAAATGGGACAGAAATGGACAACGATTACACGGGCAGACGGCCGTGGGACAGGAAGGCAGGAAGCCAGCATGAGTGAGGGCGGGGACCAGCCTCAGTCCCATTGGCAACCGAAAGGCGGCCCGGAGTCCAGCATGGGCAGAGCCTGGCCGGAAGCTATTCCCAGAATGGTGGTACCTGCTCCTTACGCTGGACCAAGGTCAGGTGTCAGGAGGAAGTCCCTCCGCAGGGGGATTTGTCCCTCTAGTAGTTGTGCACTATCTGGAGACTTTTTTCATTTTAGGTGCCACAACCGCATGCGCCATTGGCATCCTGAGGCCACGGACACTGCTCAGTGTCCTTTAATGCACAGGACACCCCGCACCCCCACCCCGAATTGTCTGCTCCAAATTCCAGTCACGCTATGGCAGGTACCCCACATTTAGACCCCTCCCGAGAATTCCGCAGTGGATGTGAATCTCTTTGACATCCTGCTTTGCTTCTTATTAAATAGCCAGTGCCCTCAAGAGCACATTTTTACATTGAGCAGAAACATCTGCTTGGGTGATTGTTCAAATATGGATTCCCAGGTCCCAGCCCCAGGCCTGGTGGCTCAGTATATCTAAAAAATGGCTTGGGGGTTGCATTTGATTGATTGAGTGATTGATTGAGAACTATAGGGCACATGCACTTGCCAGAGAGACAGAGACAGAAAGCAAGAAATCACACCCCACCCCCGGAGTGGGGGGATGGCCACACCACAGTCCCTTCTCCTCCATTCTCCTCTTGGGGTCTTGGGCACGCACACACATGCACCCGACGTGAGTTTTAAGCAGCTGGGTCCAGAACTTGAACTGCAGTCGACTACATGGGAGTCCAGCAATGTAACCGTTAGGCCATCAGCTGGGCCCAGGATTGCATTTTTAATAAGCTCCTCTGGAGGAGGTTATGTAGATGAAGGGCACTGCCTTACCTTATCAGGCACCTCAGGGAAAGCTCCTTGTGCTGACCTTTGCTTTACTCTAATACGTCCTAGGACTGGGGAGTCCAAGGTGAGCTCCCAGGTTCCCCCTAGAAGCTTGGATCTTGACGGTCAGCCAAGAGTAATAGGCCCAGGACTTACCAGACAGGACTCTGGCCTGGATACTGTGCCCTAAAACAGACGATGGGTGAGTGAATGCAGATGGCGGACAAGTCCCTGGAAACATCAGAAGGGGACTGTTGTTTTTCTTTAGAGATTTTTACTATAAGGCATATGTGCTCTCTGGAGAGACAGATGGACAGAAATCCTCCCAGGAGGATGGCCATGCCACAATCCCTTCTCTGTTCTCTTCTTGGGATTTCGGGCACACACACACACACGCACCTGCGTGAGGTTCAAGCCACTGGGTCTGGGATTCAAATCCCCGTCGGCCATGTGGCAGTCGAGTGCTTTAACCACTGTGCCACCTGCAGGCCCCAGAGACTGCTTTTACTTCAGCCCTCTGACATCACAGTGGGGAGGATAGACCTCCCCTCCTGAGACTCCTGGATCTGCCTGGGCAAGGCCTCCAAGTTCAGGTCCTTGGGAACTTTCCAGGACCATCATTTTGCCGCTTCTCTCCCTGCCCCCCCCCCCCCCCCCCCCCCCCCACTCGGACCCCCCCGCTCCTGTCAAAGCAGTCTCCCCTCAAGGTCTCAGACTCACCACTCCTCCCAGGGCTACTCTGCATGGCAAAGGCTTCCTCCTACATCCTAGCAGGGGCTCTCTGAATTCAGATATCTCTACTTGGGAGATTCTTGGTCAGACCTTGGCAGGACAGGGCACATGGCCATCTGGGCAGCCTGGGCAGGCTCCGAAAAGGGCAGATACAGCCCCCAGGGAGGGAACTTAGGCCGGCCCCGGAGTCTGCAGCACTGCTGTCTGCAGGACCTAAAGTAACGTGCACAGGTCCCTGGAGGCCTAGCCTTGTCCCTGTACCCTTCGTGCCCATATTTGCTTGCCTTTTTTTTTTTTCTCTCTAAAGCTTCATATTTTCCAAGACTCAGCCCAGGCACACCTCTGCCAGGAAGGCTTTCTGTCCTCTGGGATCCCCTACAGCCCAGAAAGGAGCATCTTGAGGGCCTGGGCACCGAAGTGACCAGACTTCAGCTTGCCTGTGATGTTCCTGGTTTCAGTGCGGAAAGTCCCGCATCCCAGGAAACCCTCAGACGTGGGAACCTGTGCACTGGACTGTGCCGGCAGCTGAATCAAGGCCTCCTCCCCCGAGAGGGACCCCAGGCTTAGTGGGTCATATGCCACCCTTGGATGAAGGCAAGGGGAAGGAGCTGTGACTGTTTACCTAAGAGGGTGGAGGGGGTGAATTCTTAATCAGTCCCCATTCGAGTTCAAATTCAGCATGCCCCATGGGAAGCTCAACGCCCGGTCTACAGTGAACAGCTGCTTGGCATGTTGGAGCGTTGTCGAGATTGGTGCAATTCAGGAGGTTCTTCCCCAAATCCAGGTTCCTCCTGTGGAGTTGCTGCCCCTCCACATGTCCCTTAGGGAACACCTTTCCCTGCCCCCCTGAGAAGGCTGATCAGGACCTGCTCTGTGTTCTGTGGTCTGCTCAGCACAGAGCCTGACCCCTCACCATAATGGAAGAGGAGGAAACAAACCGGGAGCTTGAAGCCTGGGTCTCTATTTGGAATCATTGAAAAGATGACAAAATGAGGCTTTTATCCACGGAGCGCCCCGAAGAGGTGAACGACGGAGAGACTGGCCTGGAGTGGAGCAGGGCAGAGGGGCCTGAGCAATAGCCCACATCCCTGGAGGTGGGGCTGTGCCAAGACCTCCAGCCTTGGATACCGCCTGTCCTAGGGGTTTCCAGGCCACCACAGTGGCTTCCAGGAGAAAAACTAGGATCCAAATAGAGCAATATTATCCTCTACATCTTCTTCCTTCAGAAGGCAGCTTTTCTTCTTTTTCTTTAATGAGATTTTTGCTATTGGGCATGTGCACTCTCCAGAGAGACAGAAAGTGAGAAATCACCCCCTGGGGGGATGGCCACAATCCCTTCTCCTCCATTCTTCTCTCAGAATTTTGGGTATGCATGCACAGGCACCTGGCATGAGTTTCAAGTCACCGAATCTGGGACTGGAACCGTGGTTGGCCACATGGGAGTCCAGCGCCTTAACTACTACACCACCTGCTGGCCCCAGAAGGCTACTTTTCAAACCCCAGTCTCCGCAGAGCACAGCCTGCCGGGCACCATCAGCCTCCTGACCTGCTTTGAGGGCCAACAGCTGGAGCTCCGTGCCTAGAGCCCAGTCCCCGTGGGCGGTATACTGACTCCAGGCCCTCCCAGGGACCACTGTGATGACCAGAGTTCCCCTGCAGGCCCAGAGAATGCGCTGGCCCCTCCCATGGATGCTGGCTTGGGCACACTGAGGCCCTGTACACGAGTCCAAGCCTGGACTGCACAGGCTCTAGCAGAGAGGCAGATGGGGCTTCCCTACGGCTGATGGGAAGGTGACCTGCGGGCTTCCGTCCAGGACATCCAGTGTCCGGTGCCTGAAGGTGAGTTAATATGCATACTGCGTGTCATCTTTTGTGCTCCGTTTCATGGCTGCCAGCCCAGTGTGCAAGTCATTTCTCTCTGCCGATTCCACTCTTCCCGGGGCCCCTCTGCCGAGCCATTGCGAGACATCTGCAAGCCAGCAGGTGTGAGGAGCTGACCTCCCTCGGAGGCAACTTCAGTTGACGGGCCTGGGTGGACAGTCTCCCCGCATCCCCGAGGTTGAGGCTCGTTCTGCAGGCTCCTCAGAGGATCCTTCATGACCCTGAGCCCCAGCTGCACCCAGTGTGGGCCCCAGCTCAATAACACTTGCATGGGTTGGCCACCTCTCTTGAGCCCACGGATGACTCCCCAAAGCTGTGCACCTGCACACACACCCCTATCCCAGTCCCTGCTTTGGAGGGAGGACTCGAAGCTAAGACACAAGTTTACTTCTTCAGATATGAACGCAATTCCATTATGCTCAATTTAGATTTACGAATAATTTATGTGTATAGCGCTTTGTAGTTTACAAAAATCTTGTCCCAGTTAATTTACCCGTGTAACCGACTGCCTCAGAACTCAGGGGTGGTGTGGAGTCCGGACGCCAGGTGCAGGGGGAGGCGGCTTGTCTGCTCTGATGTCAGGGCCTTGGGGCGGTGGAGACTCACTCCTCACGTTTCTGGTGGGTGATGCTGGCTGCCAGCCGTGAGCTCCCTTCCTTTCTACGGGTAAGTTTCCAGCATGGTGGCCGGGTTCTTCTTCCATTTATGACCCAGCTCTAAAGTTCAGCAATCCCACTCAGGGTCAAAGGGCATGGGACCATTTTGGGAAAATACAGTAAGCCATGGTTAGCTACTGCGTCGTTCCCTGTGATTCTCACTGAAGAGACTGTCTTGTCTTTGAATCGGCAGTGTGCAGGTCAGAGCCCAGCCCAGAGCAGGTGTGTGCAATAACACATCTGCTGTGAGGAGGGGGCAGAGTTCAGGGTTCAGCTGATCTGTATGCGAGTCCTGGCTTCCTCACTTACTACCGATGTGATCCTGGAGAAGTGCTCTGAGCTTCTCTGAACCTCGTTTTCTTCTTCAAGCCTTTAAAATCAGGGCCAAATGCCCTCCTACGGCCAAGACAGGTGCCAACGGTGCAGGTGATATGTGCTACTGACTGTAGATGCCTGCGGGTGCTCAGTCTCTGCTTCCGCCCCTTCTACTGCATCCCGATGGGCTGGGACTTCTCAGCAGGTGCGGACACAGGGGTACAGACGGCGTTTGGGCTCAGGTCTAGGGTTTGGCAGCAGACCGGGGCTTGGAGGACGCCCAGGTGCACAGCTGTGGTGCTCTCGCTCTTCCCCAGCCCTGGACACCTCCCTCCCAGCCAGCCC